TTTTTGGCTATAAAGCAAAAATCAGAAGTGGTAACACACACAGTCTTATTCACCAAGGCTTGAACTGTAAGAAAATGCCTGTTACCAGCTTCTAACATAAAGTTGCCATCAAACTCTCTTTAGAGGCACTTTTTGCCACCTTGGCCGGCCGACTATAAGAATATTTTCATGATCATGAGGTGAAAGATGGAATGTTCCATTCAACGAGGCGACAGCCGAGTTGAATGGAACATTCCATCTTTCACGGAATGATTGCACTCATAAACATTCATTGCACTCATAAACATTCATTATTTGTTTTATATAATACCAAAATAGACTAATAGATTCGTATGAGAAGCATTTTGACGGATGCGATTTATCGAAAACACAAAGAGTGCAATTGAATAAAACGTATAGTACAATTGCACTCGCAAATTCCATTGCACTTTTGGGAAATGGAATTTTCTATTCAATATCACGTGACCATAAACAGCCAACTAAACGATCAGAATTCAAAAAGGTATACAGTATAATAAATATTATCTACTACTAATAACTATAAACTATATACAACCTAGTACTCCTAATTAAGTCTGTAAAAGAAATAAAGCTTCGAAGTGCGGTATTCATCACCCACAGTATGCGCTAAGACGCCTAAGTTAAGGGACGGACCATTAGAAAAGTGATGATGGGGGGGGGGATTTTCTAAGAGACAATATTTTTTTTGTACACCTTTTGAAGAAATTTTTTTTCTCACTTGATGGCTGGAAATTTTTTTTAAGTGAAATTTTTGGGCTTACCTTCCAAGCTAGGAATTTTTTTTGCACTATGCCTGGGAAGATTTTTTCCCCTAATTTTTTTCTGGGAATAAAATTGTTTTGGTTTTGCCCTACCCCTACCCCCCTCCCCATCACTTTTCTAATGGTCCGTCCCTAACATCACGCAGATGTTCAAATTAAAAGCGCATTAGCCCGAAAGGCAAAAACATTCTTCGGCTCACAACTGGACGCATCATAAGTTCTGTCCAATCTGTCGAGAAATAAAGTCTGGTCAGAAGAGAGAAATTATTTTCGCATCATTTTGTAGAGAACATGTCTACGCAGTTAAAACACTGAGTTATTGTAAATATGTGACCTACCGGACCTGTGTTTCAATTCATGAACCAGACAATAATAATATAGACAATAGTCTAGAGTACGTATTGGTACGTATATATTACGAAGGTAAAATAAAACAGTCGTGTGTATCAGTCGACACGTGTGTATTTTCTTGTCCCATGACATATTTGCCTACAATCCGTCCTGAAAACCAAAAGCAAAAAATTCTAAACATGTTTCTTCCATTTGCCATGGTTGAATGATACGAGTTAAAAACTATGAAAACTTTTTGGTATGGTAATTACGATGGCCGAGGAGGGCCACTTCTGACTTCTGACTTCCGACTTCTGACTTCCGACTTCTGACTTCTGACTTCTGACTTCTGACTTCTGACTTCTGACTTCTGACTTCCGACTTCTGACTTCTGACTTCCGACTTCTGATTTCTGACTTCTGACTTCTTCTGCCTTTCCAGCTAAACACGGCAAATCCAAACCGATTGCTTCGATTCTGCATTAATTTTGCTGATAACGTCTAAATATATCATAATTTTCTTATCCAGAATTTCCGAATTCGTTATTTTATTTCATTTTTTCAATTTTATGTTGCCGTGTTTCCAACAGTATTATCATTCTTTGTTAGCAATACTTATTTTTGATATCGTATGTATTTTAGTAGAAAAAAAAACTATGTATGTTCAACGGGATGTTCTTTATCAAATTTAGCCGTAGGGGACATTTAAAAATAAATTAAAATTTAATTTAACATTTACATCACTTTTTCCAAAACTTAGCTCAAAAACTTTACAAAATATCATCCAGAAAAAAACAATCACCAATATAATCATATGGATAAGAAATTTATCTATTTTGGCGATAAAATTAACCTCACATATCTGAATTTATCAAATTGATATTGTCAATTGACAAAATTTTCATTATCCACCACAGTAGAACACCGGTTACCCCGCCATTTCAAACTTAAGTTAGTTGGCTAAGTTTCATGAGTCAAGCCTCAAAGGAAAAAATAATTAGTTCGAAAAAGCAACGAGTTCGAGTTATATGAGTTCAGAATAATGGAGTAAAAGAAGTCCGAACTCAGAAGTCGGAAGTCAGAAGTCAGAAGTCAGAAGTCAGAAGTCAGAAGTCAGAAGTCGGAAGTCGGAAGTCAGAAGTCAGAAGTCGGAAGTCAGAAGTCAGAAGTCGGAAGTCAGAAGTCAGAAGTCAGAAGTCGGAAGTCGGAAGTCGGAAGTCAGAAGTCAGAAGTCGGAAGTCAGAAGTCAGAAGTCGGAAGTCAGAAGCCAGAAGTCGGAAGTCAGAAGTCGGAAGTCAGAAGTCGGAAGTCGGAAGTCAGAAGTCAGAAGTCGGAAGTCGGAAGTCAGAAGTCAGAAGTCGGAAGTCAGAAGTCGGAACTCAGAAGTCGGAACTCGGAAGTCAGAAGTCG